CAGCGACAGTGGGGAAGGAAGCAAGATCCAGAAATAGCATGGGGAGGATCAGACGGCTGGCTGAGGTGGAGGAGGGAGTGGAATAGCATGCGATGGTTGCATCGAAGTATTCCTTCACATTTGCTACAGCAGTATAGCGGGGACGCTCAGACAAGGGGAGGGCGTGACTAATAGCAAGCTGCGCTACCGCGTCGCGCGAATCCCAGACAGCGCGGGCAAGCTCAGCAACGGCAAAGGCCTCACGCTCTCCGGACGTGGGAGCGTCAGTGAGGGGAGCAGGCGCTGCGGGGCTGGGATTCTTACCATCGACATGGATGGCCAGGGAGTAGGCGTCCTGGCCCTGACCTATACGCTGACGGCAAAGGTCGATGAGCTACGCCTCAAAGTCGATCGCCCGACCCTCCGCCTCCAGGCGGAGCGCAGCGTCTGCCATCACCACGGCCACAGCAGCTGACAACGGCACAGCGCCACGGCGGCCTGGCGGCCTGGCGGCACGACGACTCGGCGGCACGCCGGCACGGCGACACGATGAGACGGGGGCATGGCGGCATGGCGATATGGCGAAACAGCCGTACGGCAGCACGACGGCACGGCAGCATGGTAGAACGGCGGCATGGCGACACGGCAGCACGGCGGCAGCGTGGCACGACGGTAACAGGGGCTAGTGCGAACTGTGGCCGGTGCGAGCAGGGGCCGGTGCAAACTAGGGCCAGCAAGGTAGGGGGCAGCGAGCGTGGGCCGACGAGTGAGTGTCGGGGCCAGGGAGTGCGCTCGGAATGGGGGGCCAGTGCAAACTAGCAGGGCCGGTGCGGAGGGACAAGGCCGGCGCGAAATGGCAGGGCCGGCGTGAACTAGCGGGGCCGAAAAGGTCGACGGGGGCTGGTTTGGCGCAAGAACCAAGGGCCGAGCTTGCGGAACCGAGAGGTTCACGTGCACTTGTTGTGGTGAGCCCTAGTAAGGAATCGTAATTCCTTACACTCTCTGACCTTCTAAAGGAAGGCACTCCCTTTATTGAGGCCGATCAGTCATTGAAAGTAATCCCCGATGTGACTGTAAGTCTTTAGCCCTATGACGAGCGTAATGATTACGCCGGCCTGACGAGGTCTTGAGGTCAAACTGCGATCGATGGTCAGAAAGCGTCGAAACGATCGCTTTAGATCCTGATTGTTGAATCTTGATTGGCGCAATGATGCGAGACTTCATGAGGTAAAACTCCATCCAACGGTTGAGACATGTCGTAGCAATCGTAATCGATTGGAGTCGTTGAAGATAATAGACTTCTTCAGCTGACCGAATGGGCAATGGCAAAAACTCCCAAGTAACGAAATGATGAAGATGACTGATGCTGTCGCGTGGGCGGGTAATGATGACGCATTGCAGTATGATCATGATGACTTCCGAATGACGTGGTAGTTGGATGACAAAGAGCCGTTCATCAACACGTGAGGTCGTTCGTGTCACATGCGAAATCATGCGTCCGTGTCCCACGAAAGTCAGCGAACTCCATCAATGAAGTGACGAAATCAGGTGCGGAAGCGTAACGATGAGGAATATCGGTCAAAAGTGGATAATGGAACACGCCGAAGGGTCAGACGAAAATTGCGGCACAGCTGCCCTTCTCCCCCCTCCAAGAAGAAACCGCTCCCAATTTCCCAGGTAGAACCCCATGACACCCAATGCTCCAGGGTAGTCGAAAGAATCCCACGCTGCTGCTTAAAAGTCTCGTACTCAGCTTCGAAGATGCCGTTGAAATATATCCCAACCACTAAAAAAACGCGAATCATGATGACTCCAAAATCCGCTCCAGGTAAATTTTCTTCAGGGTAAACCGCGTCGAAGGTCTGGAAATTCCGCAACTACTACTCCATAAGCCTTTCTGACGAACGCAAAAAATCTTCAAAAGACAAACACTGCTTGTGAGCTGGCCCCAATACAGCTTCAACAGGACTGCTGCCAAATTTTATATAAATCAGATACTATTGTTTTCAATTCGGCCTGTGAGTCGGGGTCGTGTTCACACAGTTGGTCGAATCACACGAATTGATGATGGAGGTGGTAGCAGGTAGTGACGAGAGGAAGACGACGATGACGATGACCTGTAACTTGTACTGAACCACTCCAGTGAATATCCTCGAACAGAACCTGGGGTCGAATGACGCCAGCTGCATCAGCTTCTTTGTCCGTACACGCCGAAAAATTCGGGAAGAACGGAAACTGCTACTGCTCTCCCTCCGCTCCATACAACCAAAACACTCCGCAAATGTCGATCGATGTCGCTCATACGCTTGAAGAGAGCGGGCACAACTCCAGCTGTAAACTCTTGAACTGCTTCTCAAACCCACCGAAAATGTCGGAACAATACTTAGCAAATACCGTAACTCCGCTTCATAGCTACCCGTAAAAATGCCCAGGCATTACGGCGTCCTTTAGCAGCGCCCCCACGGTTGCTCCACCAGCTGTTCGCATGAACTGAACCCTTTATATTAGGTTTTACCGGAGTCCACCGCCTCGGCATGATGTTTTGGCCGTCGATCATGATCAATGCGCATCACACGCCGTCGATCTCCGCCCAGCTGTTACCCAAGTGTAACATACTTTGGTACCCCTGCCAGCTGGCCGTACAGACGTTCACCCATATCGCGGCTGCTTCAGGTTACCTAGAACCGCTTCGCTGCTGCTTAACTAACTAGGAGAATCCGTAGAGATAGGAGTGCACACGCTTCTAGTCAGAGGAGCTTTAACGAACTCGCCTACTGACCGCTAGACAGCTCCCTCCTCCGTCGGAAACTCGTCAAACTACACCCGCAAAAATCAGAACCTCCTTCTGCTGCACCACGTAAAACCCTCAGCTCCGCGTCAACATTAACTCCTAAAATTTTGGGGACACTCCATTAGCACAGTGTAGTTCGCAGGTTCACCCCCCTTATTCAGCCAGAAGCCGTCGATTAATAAGTCGACACTGCTACCTGGTGGGAATGGTGATTTCCGGGCGACGTAGCTGGGCGAGTAGCAGCACGAACGCCGCTAACGCATATGCTCCAGTACTCTCGTCGTTCTTCTCCCACTGCTTCAGCTCCTGACAGTTAACGCATTCGGCGACCAGTGGAAAAACACTTAAGACGCACCCAAGGGTGGTGGCCTCCGTTTTCCGTTGATCGTGAGGGTATGAATCGCTGGTCCACGAAAAACGCCTCCCCACGCGGGAAGTCGCCCTCAATGAGTACACTCACTCTAGCACAGCGTCATCTCCTCCAAATGACCGTCGTGGTGAATAGCGCCGAGGTCGTTCATCTCAGCTGATCCCACACAACTGTACACCCACACGTCCTCGTGCGATCGTGTCGTTCCGAAATTGTCGGATCCGCCCATTGCCGAAATAGTATTGAAGTCACGTCCATCGCTTGCAACTAGCTTGCTGGAAATGACGGGACCCGCGAGACAGCTACAGTTCACCCTTCCGCTGCATGGCATGCTAGACGTACATCGCCGTACATCCCGCCAATTTCGCTACCCCGCGCGCTCCTGGCGACCTGCCTGAGGACTCCCGTGCACTTGTCTCTTCATGACGAAGCCTTCGCCTTTTTCGGAAGCCAATCCGAAGACTCCGTTGGAACATCCGAAATTTCCGAAAGCTCTAACGAACATACCCGAAAAACACGGTGAAAACGTCGCCCACTCTTCGTCGGGAAATAATTCCATCTACGCCCAGGGAATGGGAGGACCGGCCAATCCCAGCCATCCATCGGACAAGATCTGACGGCATCGGCAACGCCCGCACAATTAATTTTCGCGACGTCCACTCGCCATCAGCATCCTTCCGCCCCCTTCCCCGATAGGATCTGCTCCCCTACCGGATTCTTAACGGGCAGGAACGTAGCTCTGATACCAGCTGTTATGAATTATAAGTCAGAGTATAGCACAGAATACTGTAGGAAAAAGTGATTACAGAATGCTGATAGAAATGAGGCATGGGGAATATATAGGGCGAGTTGACCAGGTTGAATGTCGAGGGTTGGACCAGTCAAGGGCTCGATAGTCCCGAGGGTGATGGGGTCAAAATGGGTTCGGGCCGACTCGGGATAAGGTTGGGGCCGAAAAGGTCGACGGGGGCTGGTTTGGCGCGAGAACCAAGGGCCGAGCCTGTGGAACCGAGAGGTTCGCGTGTACTCGTTGTGGCGAGCCTCAGTAAGGAATCGTAATTCCTTACAAGAAGTGTCACACTGTACATTTCGCTAAGTTGATTGTTGTGTTAGCCAATGATAATCGAGCTAAACATTTCAGGCTCCTTTCCATCCGAAATTCACAACAGTAATTCTAGTCAGTCATCCTGTACTTAGACGGATTTTAGAAGGCAAACGTTCAAGTTGGGCCCACCTTTGCTATTTTAGCTTGGGGTTTTAAGCGGGTTGCCCTCCCTTATGCTTTGATGGGGAGATAAAGTTGGTATTTTACGACCTCCGTATTTTCTGGGCACGCGTAACAAAGGGCTGATCTCGCGCATGTATTGTTTCCCTGGTTATTATCTCGTGCGTCGCCCAATAATTCGTCGCGTGCTTGGAGCTCCCAAATATTCCGTTAGGCTTTTCGCGAAGTATTCGCTTGTTTCCCGCCATTTTTTTCTCTACCGAGTTGGGCTCGGTGCGCTTAGGGCGGCCAGAGGGGTCCTGCTTTCATAGGACTAATATATTTTTATATTATTACTTATTATCGATACCTTCTCGGTTGTAGCCACACCAATGCCAGACGGCACACAAGTCCAGTCGTCAGCTGCGCACACGTGCCGAAGTCCGCACTGCGATCCCCCCTGGGCGTGCTTGAGGGGCGGGCTCCGCAAGGGCCGTAGTGGTACTTGCACTAAGTGTAGTGTGTAGGACCCAGGCCAAGATGGAGCAAGCCCTAAGGGGGGGCGGGGGGGGGGGGGGGGGGGGGTTGGCTGCGCTGCGGGGACTCTGAAGCTCCGAGCCTGACTGCTGGCGGTGGTAGCAGTACTGTAGTACTGCTACGGGAAGACCCCAAAAATTGGTCGGTCGGACCGTACGCATTGCCCAACGAGAAGAATCCGTGCCGAATTTAGGGCGTGGTACATACAGGTCCAACTCCGTCCGAATCTCCAGCACACTGTACCACGCGGTTATCTTACTGCAGTACGCCAAAACCGTTTTGACAACCACTCTATCACTCTGGCCGTCCGAACTTTCAGAAGTTCGGAACTCTATGTACACCCTTACGCAGGCTCGGAGCCTTCAGGCTCAGAGTCCGAATCCCGGGCTTCCTGCTTTCGGTTCGGCATTATTGGTGTTTGTTGGGCTTCCTGCTTGTAGAAGAGTCCGAGTCCGTGCTTCTATGCTCCTACCGAAGCTGGCAGTGCAAGCTCGAGCTGAACAGATTGAGCTTAGCTCCGAAGTAGTGCTGCTACTACTCGCGTTGTCCTCTCTCTCTCTCGCTCTGAAACTCGAGTTTTCTGAAAGCCCCGACATCCGACCATCTCAGACATCTCAGACACATCTCAGACACATCTCCGGACACATCTCAGACACATCTGAGACACATCTCAAACACGTCTCAAACACATCTCAGACACATCTCAGACACATCTCAAACACATCTCAGACACATCTGAGACATGATCTGAGACGTCTGGGCCCCTGCAACGGCGGCAATGCTGACGGCGCAGCGCTGCTGGCTGCAGCAATGTGGCGCGGCGCATGGTTCCTGCACACTGCAGCACCGCCGCCGCCGGCGCGTGGCGCGTGACCGGCGCTGGGCGCAGGCGCGCACCGGCCTCCCCACGCAACTTGCCGCATGGCGCACATGGTGGCTCGCCGCCGGTCTTCTCACCGCCGGCCTTCTCGCACCCCTCCGAGACGTGATGGTCAACGCGGCCGCAGCAGTATCGATGGAGGCGACGCAAGGTCGGTGAGTCAACGCAAGGTCGGTGAGTCGACGCGAGGTCGGTGAGTCGACGCAAGGTCGGTGAGTTGGCGCAAGGTCGGTGACTCGGCATAGGTCGGTGACTCGGCAAAGGTCGGTGAGTCGGCAAAGGTCGGTGAGTCGACGAAGGTCGGTGAGTCGACGAAGGTCAGTGAGTGGACGCAAGGTCAGTGAGTGGACGCAAGGTCGGTGAGTCGACGCAAGGTCGGTGAGTCGACGCAAGGACGGTGAGTCGACGCAAGGTCGGTGAGTCGGCGCAGGTCGGTGAGTCGACGCGAGGTCGGTGAGTCGGCGCAAGGTCAAAGTCAAACGATGTCCAAACGACTGCCTCAAGGAAGTGCAATCGAACGGGTCCTTTCGGCGGTTTTTTTTTTTTTTTCCAGTCGCCTACCCTCTGTCTTCCCCCCAATGCGCAGTGCAATTTCTGGCGGACTGCCAGACGGCCTGGAGGAAGACGCTGCCCGGGTGGAGTGGGCCTGATCCCAACTGCAGCAGAGCGGAGGGCGTCACGTGCGACAAGAGCGGCATGATCATGAGCCTGTGAGACGTGTGGTTGGGGAATGGGTGCTTGGGAGACAGGTGGTTGGGGGATGGGTGCTTGGCCACACGGTCACCCATCCGATTTGACTGTGCAGGGTGGAGATGGGTGTGAGGGGTGGAGATGAGTGTGCGGGGAGGAGATATAACTCCTCGCTACCCACTGGGTCAAAACGAGGTTACCCAGAGGGGCGCAGCGGAATTGCACGTTCACATCTCAGGTACGTTACACTCGTCCCCCCCTGGCGCCAACGTCCTCGTTGGCTCAGGGAGTCGGCCCCCGCAAGGACCTCGAATTTCGCTGGTGTCCCAAGTAAGCGACTTCGCTGGTGGACCAGGCCAGCAGCTAGGATCGTTCGCTGGGTTCGCAATTGGTTACCACATTCAATTCAATTTCTCGCATCTAGCGGAAAATGTGACCAGCTGGGATTTGAACCCTAGGCTCTGATACCAGTATAACGCCTCGCTACCCACTGGGTCAAAGCGAGGTTACCCAGAGGGGCGCAGCGGAATTGCACGTTCACATCTCAGCTCAGGGTACGTTACAGGAGATGAGTGTGAGGGGTGGTGTTGAGTGTGCGGGATGGAGTTGAGTGTGCGGGGTGGAGTTAGTGTGCGGGGTGGAGATGGGTGTGAGGGGTGGAGTTGAGTGTGCGGGGTGGAGATGATTCAGTGACGATAACCGTGTTGTCGATGCTGATGCTAAGGCCAATGATGATGCTAATGCTGATGCTGATGGTGATGCCAATGGTGATACAGGGCTCTTGATGGCAGAAAGCTAGGAGGGCGCATACCAGCCTCCATCAGCAACCTCAGGAGCCTTAGCGCGCTGTACGTCCCTGCGTGCTCTCTCATGCTCTCGCAAACACTCCGCATCATGCATACACTGCTTTTGAGCCGACTCGTAGGTGGGCATTCCCCACTCCGTCAGCAACCTCAGGAGCCTAAGTGCGCTCTATGTCCTTGTGCGTTCGAGAATGTATTTTGAGAGATTTTTCCAAAGCAGCAGCAGCAGCGATATCATGTCGCCTTGAGAATGTGTGTTGAGAACTCCAAGAAACCTCACCCAAAGTAGCCCTAGCTTGCTGTATGTTTCCACTCTTCTTCTTCAAGTACTTGAGCCGGTGCTGGGGGTCCCTTAGGGTCCTCTGGCCCGGGCTGTTAGGACTCACCTTTGTGCGTGTCCCTGTGCCTCGCCTACTCCGTCTCGATGCTCCATCATACCACACACTACCCTTCTGCCTTCCCGCTCCCCCTCTGCCTTCCCGCCCCCCCTCTGCCTTCCGCTCCCCCCTTGCCTGCCTGCCGGACGTGCTCAGCTCACTGCCACGGAACAACCTCACAGGGCCAATTCCCGCCTCCATGGGGAGTCTGGCGCGACTTACATTCATGTGAGCAGAGTGGCCTCTTTGGCGCTACGTACATTCATGTGAGAAGAGCGGCTAGAGTTTCGGAGTGACTAAAGCGGATTTTCTTAACGATTATAACTTCGTCTCCTGGAGGAACCTGGCGCTACTTACATTCATGCGAGAAGATTGGCTAGATTTCTGGAGTGACTAGAGCGGATGTCTTTAACGACTATAAAATCGTCTCCATGGGGCAACCTGGCGCTATTTACGTTCTGGTGAATAGAGAATGATTAGTTCTTTCTTTGGGGATTGACTAGAATTTTGGGTTCAGAGTCGAACGATCTTGTGCCGCTTGTTGTGCGTGTGTCACTGCTTGCTCGTGTTGCGCGTGTGTCACTGCTTGCTCGTGTTGCGCGTGTGTCACTGCTTGCTCGTGTTGCGCGTGTGTCACTGCTTGCTCGTGTTGCGCGTGTGTCACTGCTTGCTCGTGTTGTGCGTGTGTCACTGCTTGCTCGTGTTGTGCGTGTGTCACTGCTTGCTCGTGTTGTGCATGTGTCACTGCTTGCTTGTGCTGCGCGTGTGTCACTACTAGGTTGCGTATTGGAAGGTGGATCTATTGTTAGTTAAACCCAGACAGAGAGTATCAAGCCCAGCGAGTGTTGATTAAAATGGTTGCACATTGTTTCGTCATCCAAATTCCTCTTTCAACATCGTTCCATCTAGTGCCCATCTCGTGCCCATCTTGTGCCCATCTCGTGCCTAGACATGGGCAAAACCGGATAATTACCCGACCCGACCCGGTTTTGCCCTACCCGCGTTCGGGTCCGGATCGGGTCGGATCGGGTCGGGTAATTTCCGGGTAATATCTGGAGGTCTAAGACCCGGTTTTTTAATACCGGGTAACTGGTACCCGTGAGGCGGGTCGGGTATACCCGACCCGCTTTTAATTAAAGTCGGGTATTATTACCCGGGTACCCCTACATGGCTGTAAAAATCAGGATGCGGCTGGGCGAGCGTGAATGGCGAACCAAAACCTTAGTTTGCTTGAGAGGGATCGGCCTATGAGTTGTTTCCACCCACTAAGTGCCAAGGTCCGCGATTCCAGAATGTCCTACGCCCTAACTTCAGCTAGGTTTGGCGAAACCCTAAATGGACGGCTAGGTAGCAAAAAACGCCACGGAGTGGTGGCCTTTACCACTGAATTACCCGATGTTTCCATTAAAGTAGGTGCGGTTTGTGGTACAGCTGCAGTGGAATGCTCCCAGGAGCATCTTCGGGTAGGCTAAGATAGAATGCAGCTAAGAAGGAACAAAAAAAGGGGAAATTTTACCCTCTGGTCGAATTTTCCCAACCAGCGCGTCCAATTTCGCGCTGGTTTCCGTCGGGTAATTGCGCGACCCGGAATCAGGTCGGGTACCCGTGACCCGGTGTCGGGTAAATAACCCGATGTCGGGTCGGGTACCCACGACCCGACAGGTAACAAATTACGCGATCATTCGGGTAATTATCGGGTATCGGGTATGCATTACCCGGCCCAAGTACCCGACCCGACCCGGTCAGGTAATTCGCAGAAATCCTATTACCCGACCCGATCTGACTCCGCGACCCGACGGGGTAAAATGCACATGTCTACCATCTCGTCTCTTCCCCTCCCTTCTCTCCTCCCTTCTTTTGCCCTCGTCTCTTTCATTCTCTCTTCTCTGCTTCCCCTCTTCTCTCCTCACTCCTCTTCGCTTCCCAACCTCCATGCTCCCCGGCTTCCTTGCATGTGCTCCTCGCAGCGATCTTGCAGAGAACCAGCTTTCAGGCACCATCCCCGCCAGCTTCAGTGCTCTCACCCAGCTCAATTATCTGTGAGCTCAATTATCTGTGAGCTCAATTATCTGTGAGCTCAATTATCTGTGAGCACGCATGAGGGAACGCACGAGGGAACGTGTGAAAATGCGTGTCATGGCTGAGTGAAAGTGCGTGTCACATCCACCTCACATGCGCCTTGATTGTGGGAGTGTCCATCCAGCATGTGCGACCAACGGGTGTATCACATGTGTTACATGCATCTACCTAACGGGTTAAGTACATGCAGCACGCAATCGACGTGCATGTAACATTGTTACCCTTGCACGTGGTAGAAATCAGGTACTAAAGAGATTCAATCAGTGCTTCTTGGTGTCACCTCCATTCAGGAGTCCTGGCATTTTTTCTGGTACTGCTTGAACTGAGAATGCTTTTGAGGCGCCTCAAAAGCATTCTTTCTGGTACAGGTACTTTAGAATTCCCAAAAACCTAACACAGGTACCAACCCTTCTTGCAGGGTGTTTTTTAGTATTCTCAAAAACACCCTCGCTTCCCTCTTGGTACAGGTACCAACGGGTCCGTTTTGTGTGTGTGGGGACGATCGTCTGGAGACTGTCCAGGCCTGAGTAACTCGAGTGTGAGGAACTCGAGTGTGAGGAACTCGAGTGTGAGTAACTCGAGTGTGAGTAACTCGAGTGTGAGTAACTCGAGTGAGAGGAACTCAAGTGTGAGAAACTCGAGAGTGAGTAACTAGATGCGAGAGCAACGGAAGTCTGCTTTTTCATGGCCACCAAGTCAAGGCGAGTCGAAGTAGCAAAAATACATTTTTTTATCAGGGTAAGCATATACTACATTGCAGGATATGCAGGACGGGAGGATGGATGCACCCCCCTACTCCAAAATTGCTTGTGGAAAGTTTTTGGCTTGTCTGTTAACTGGCGGGTTTTGGGCTTGGGACGCGCTACTCTATCAAGTTCGGATGGGGTGATTGTGAGCTCCGGTACCCACTTCTGATCGAGAACATGTATTGCACGAGACGAGCACCTCGAGATGGTCACGTTGGAGTTCTGTTGTCCTATCCATGCACTGCATCGCAGCTCGACAAGGCCAGCAGGAATCTAGTTTTGAGGCGCCTCAAAACAAGGGCAGCAGGAACCCATCCCATTCTATCTATTCATTCCAGCAAATATGCCTCTACTAACTTGTCCCTCTTTCATTCCTTACCCATCCGTCCTGTCCCACCTGCCGCTGCCTTTTACACGGCATGCCCCTGCCTCTGCGGACTATGTTCACAGAGACCTGTACAATAACCAGCTCAGTGGCTCTATTCCTGCTCGGATCGATGCTCTCACAAGTCTGCAATTTCTGTAAGGCGCTTTTGAGTCGACACAAGTCTGCAATTTTTGTAAGGCGCTTTTGAGTCGGCTCAAGTCTGTAATTTTTGTAAGGCGTCGCTGAAACGGGACGAACGAAAGTGTTCGGTAAGTCTGTACTTTTTGCTCAATTGTGTTCCGCTGAAGACTTGAAAAGCAGGAACTTTGATGTGGATGTGGGAAATTTGAAAAGCGGGAGATTTGAAAACAGCCGAATGTCTGGAATGGTGTCGGCCTGCCTTGCTTTCAAATTTCGGAATCCAAACCGTAAGAGTGCAGTGTGTGACCTGTCCCATCCCATTGCCCTGGGTGGCATGCTCGCACGCAGTACAAGAGGTTTGATGTTCAAGGCCTCGCTGAAGGTTAAAGCCTCACTGGGGGATAAAGCATCAGGGAGGGTTAGACCTGGCACTGCTGCCATGCGCGCACCTGCCTATGGGGGTGGACCTCTTCAGGTCGCTGCCGCTGAAGTTTAGTTGTTGTCAGGCGTCTCAAATCCAAACCATTGTCAGGCGTCTCAAATCCAAACTTTTAACACACATGTTTTTCACCTGCTGCCTCCCATACCTTTCTTTTAAGGGCGCTGCCGCAGAATCGCCTCATAGGGCCCATTCCCAAGTCCATTGGGAGCCTTGCTCAGCTCACTCTGATGTGAGTAGAAACGCAAGCCTGTTCTGCGATGCACTAAAAAGTATGTCACTGCTAAAACGATGCACTATATGAAATGATGCATCTGTGGAGCTTTACTGAGGTGAAATGTACATCCAAAGATTTGAAGTGCCTCCGTTTTTTCACCCCCATCCTGTCTTTCTCATCTCGCTCTCTCTTTGATTTGTTTCTCCTTCTGCTGGAAATTCTGCCCTTGCTGGTGCGCTCTTCTTTTTTGGGCGCCTCAGAAGTCATTCCTGTTTGCGCCTTCCTTCCTGCATCGCATGCTTCTTGTCAGAAATCTCGCAATTAACAAACTTTCAGGCAGCATCCCTGACAGCTTCACTGCACTCAGCCAGTTGAAGAACCTGTGAGTAACACATCTCGGGAGGGAGAACCTGACAGAAAATGCATGCAATGTCTGCGTCTGGCATGCCATCCATGCAATGCAATGCATGCAGTTAACTTGAAATCAAGAGTTGCAATACATGCATCCAACCAAATGCAAGCTGCCTGCATCCACCAAGCACACGAGGTACAGTACAGGTAGCACAAAAGGTACAGTACAGGTAGCACAAAAGGTACTGTACAGGTAGCACAAAAGGTACAGTACAGGTAGCACAAAAGGTACAGTACAGGTAGCACAAAAGGTACCGTACAGGTAGCACAAAAGGTACAGTACAGGTAGCACAAAAGGTACTGTACAGGTAGCACAAAAGGTACAGTACAGGTAGCACAAAAGGTACAGTACAGGTAGCACAAAAGGTACCGTACAGGTAGCACAAAAGGTACAGTACAGGTAGCACAAAAGGTACAGTACAGGTAGCACAAAAGGTACAGTACAGGTAGCACAAAGGTACAGTACAGGTTGCACTAAAGGTACAGTACAGGTTGCACTAAAGGTACAGCACAGTTAGCACAAAAGGTACAGTACAGGTAGCACAAAAGGTACAGTACAGGTTGCACTAAAGGTACAGTACAGGTAGCACAAAAGGTACAGTACAATGCATGTGCGTACGTTCAATGTGTGTGTGTGCGTTCAATGCATGTGCATACATTCAATGTATGTGCGTACGCTCAAGCCTATGTTAAGCCTTTTTATTTTTTCAAGTGACTCCCGATTCCCCTTGTTATGGGTCCATTGTTTGTTACATGCTCAAAAGCTGTTCGTGGTTGGTTGTACAGTGTATGGCACCTGTCAGCCATGGCCCTTTTCACCCCATGTTCCCTTGTACGATTGCAGGTATATGTATTACAATCAGCTCAGCGGCACCATTCCCACTGGCATTTGCTCGCTGACAAATCTCGAGGATATGTGAGTCCTCCCTTTTTCTATCCCTTTTTCCTCCTTCCCTTCTCTCCCACCTATGCTTCTTTCTCTGCCAGCTTGCGTCTGCTCGTCCTCTCTTACTCTCTTCGTCCCTCCTCTCCTTCCCTCTCTCTTCAACATCGTTCTTCTTCCTCCCACCTCCTCTCCCTTCCTCCTTCCTCCTCTCCTCCAGTCTTTGTTACACCCCACCCTCGTTTCCATGTTCGTTTCAATCCCCTGCTTCTACCACCATCTCCTCTCATATCCTCTCCTCTCCTCTTCTTTCCACTCCACTCATAACCGTTCCGTTTCCGTTCCTCTCCTCGTTTCCGCATGCTTCTCGTCACCATCCTACCATCTATCATTCTCTCCAACTCCTCTTCCTCGCCTACTTCCTTTCCCTTACCCCCTTCCCCTCCCCTCCTCTCCTAATTTCGTCGTTTCTTGTCCCCTACCTTGCCTTTTCCTCTCCTCTGCACATGGGATTGGCAAGCGCCATCAAGCAATCTAAGTTGTATATCTGAAGCACAAGCTACAATGTTGCATTTTCTCATTTTTATACTCTTACCTTGACTGATCCTCCCTGTATGTGGTGTTGGCAAGCAGCATGAACCACAGTGATGGGAATAAAACAGAGCCACAAATCGCACCTCTCCATTTTACGTTCTGTCCTGTGCCAATCATTCCCCCTCCATCCACACCTATCCGGGCCTGTTACCAGGATCCTGCCCTTCCACTTGACTCAATAGTCACCTTTTTTTAGAATTCTCAAAAATATCTCACTGTGATCAGGATGTTTCCCTTTCCCTAGACTCAATAGTCGCCTCGTTACAGTGTCCCACATCACACGGCACTTATGAGTTGAGTCGACTCACAAGTCGTCTTCCGCACTAATCATTCCCACTCTCGGTCCACACTGATATGGCTGCTGCCCCTGTGATCAGGAAATTGAACTACAATCTGCTCACCGGGCCTATATTGGAGGTTTTGTTTTGTTTTTTTTACTCAAAAAATCATTCCCACTCTCGGCCCACACTACGGTCGCTGCCCCTGTGATCAGGAAATTGGATTACAATCAGCTCACCGGGCCTATTCCTGATGAGATTGGGAGGCTCTCGTTCCTCGTCGACCTGTAAGCTGACTGGAATAGAATGATGATGGAGTGTAGACTAGTTTTTGCTCTGCTAGGACTAGGACAATCGCCTTAGATATATTTTCAACTCAGTGAACTAAGGCACAGCTCAGGCTCAGTCTAGGTTTGCTCCTTTAATTCTGCCCAAGGGAGTGCTCTGAGCTGCCCGGGTGTAACATGGATTTCAACACTTCCAGCACAACCTCTATTTAACATGTGCGATCGTTGTTTCCTCTCCCCCTCTCCTTATCCCTCCTCTTATCTGTCTTCCCCCCCCCCCTCTCCCTGCTTCCCGTCTTCTGTTGCGGTACCAATCACTCGTGCGTCCCTTCTATCCGTTCATCAGAGGCCTCAGTGGGAATTTCTTACGCGGGTCTATTCCCTCCAGCATTGGCAGCATGCGCAGCCTGAAGAACCTGTCAGTATGACGGCAATTCTGTTACAGTTTCTGTATGAATGCCAATTGCAATGTCCGTACAAATGCTTAGGTTTGGCGTCTCAAATGACGTGTTCGTATATGCCCATTGTATAACGGGCATCGCACTATCAGGCTTTAGGCTTGCTGTGTTGCGAGTTCTTATTTTCATCCCCTTGTCAGTGTACTGGCAAATGCGTTGTCAGTATTGTGGCAATTGCTTCGTCAGTGAAGTGGCAGTTGCATTGTCAGTATAATGGCGAGTACATTGTCAGTGTAGAGCCATTATCTTCCTTGTCTTGAACTCTTGGTGACAGACATGTAGCTCCCTTCTCACTCATTTCAGATTTTTTCGTAGCCACTTTCTCTTCTCTCTTTCATCTGCCTTAATGTGCTCCTTCTCAGCTTTGACTCATGGTGCATCACTTGCCTTTTTTATTATTATTATTCTCGGAAATGACTACATATGTCACTGTGAATTCAGGTACCTTGATGAGAATAATCTCTCTGGGCCCATCCCTCCATCCATTGGAGGCATCTTCTACTTGCAAACTCTGTGAGCTTCCAATGAAGATTTTTTGCTGTGTGCTGGGGATGTGCGACTGAGCTTGGGATGTGCGACTGAGCTTGGGATGTGCGACTGAGCTTGGGATGTGCAGCTGTGTTCGGGGGGTTGGAAGGTAAGTATTGAGATCCCATTTAGCTGCATGGAGAGCTGCCTGTGTTTCGAACTATGACTTCCCCCCCTAGTGTTGGAGCGTCCAGGAGTTTCGGAAGGACACAGAATGTCAGAAGGCTGCTGAACTGAACGCATTGATTGACACAGCTTCCACATCTCGACGTGGTTGTCGCATCTAGACACGTGCCACACAAAATCGCTCCATTTCAATCTCATCTCCGTCGCCCCTTTGGTTAAGTAGTTAAGTTTTGAGTCGTCTAACAACTAAACGACTTAACCACGTGCCACTCGAAATTGCTCCATTTCAATCTCATCTCCGTCGTCCCTTTGTACATCACTGTTTGTCTCAATTCCCACCCACACCCCATTTTCATGGCAGCTTTATCAGCAACAACACCAACCTCACATGCCCGGCCGACCAGACTAGCTGTGTCCAGAAGCAGAGCTCTGTCACAGCCTTCTGCCAAACGTGTGCTACCTTCTGCGCAACCTGTTTCCAGCCAGCTGGTGAGCACCAAAGAATCTATGCCGAACTGATGTGTCAACAGCCACTGTCTAAGCAGAGCAACCCGAGAAAACCCGAGAAAAATTATGGCAGATGGAACCTATCTTTGTGCGCTTGCACCTTTGCCGATTTCCTCCCGCGTGCATCGGTATCGTATCGTGCACGCTCACATTCGTGCATCGGTATCGTATTGTGCACGCTCACATGCGTGCATCGGTATCGTATCGTGCACGCTCACATGTGTGTGCATCGGTATCGTATCGTGCACGCTCACATGCGTGCATCGGTATCGTATCGTGCACGCTCACATGCGTGCATCGGTATCGTATCGTGCACTCTCACATGCGTGCATCGGTATCGTATCGTGCACGCTCACATGCGTGCTTCTAACATGCCCTTCTTTCCCCTGATTGCATCTCATTTAGTAAACCCACCTGACGTTCCTCAGCTTGTTTCTGTGGACCGCCCGCCATTGTCTCCCCGCACTTCACACTTCCCACTTCAGCGCAACCACCACCACCGCGTGAGGAGTCTATTTTTGAGGCGCCTCAAAAACATTGTCTCCCCGCACTTCCCACTTCCCATTTCAGCGCAACCACCACCACCGCCTCCATCGCCACCACCAGCTGGGAGTCCAAACACCACCACCCAGAATAACGGCAGCCAGCAAACCCCAAGCAGCAGTACGACCAGCAGCATCGGCCAGTTCTCCCCTCCAGCGCCTGATGGGGGTGGTGGCATGCCACTGACCGGCATCATTGGCATTGCTGTTGCTTCCGTCGTCTTGCTCCTGCTGCTGCTGGCTGCCGTGCTGCTCTACTCCCGGCACAGGAGGCAGCAGGGGCATGCAGGTACGAAGGGAATCTTGCAGGCACTGGGTACCACAGGGTACGACAGGGTATCACAGGGTACCACAGGGTACGACAAGGTATCACAGGGTACCAAAGGGTACGACAAGGTATCACAGGGTACCACAGGGTACGACAAGGTATCACAGGGTATCACAGGGTACCACAGGGCGCCGATACGAAGGAGATTCTGTAGCCCCTCAGAAGGCGAGGCCGTACTATTACTGTGAGGACTCCATTTTTTAGGTGCGCAGAATATAAACTCCTTCCAGTGTCGTGTCAGTGTCGTGTCGCTACGAGCATAGGCCTAGGCCATGCTGCTATGAGGAATCTATATGTGAGGACATGGCCGCAGTACTCGGAGGTGTGATGATAATGCTGCACACAGCATATGCCGTATTATTCATTACTGTGAGGAGCACATTTTTTAGGCGCACAAAAAATGGAAGGCGTGACGCTATTGGTTCATGTAGGTCGTATTGCGAGCATCCAGAGACATTTGGGTCGAATCAAGAAACTTTTGAGGCGCGTAAAAAATGGAAGGTGCGACGTTGCTCTACTCTACTCCATGCACAGGTCATGGAAGGTAGACATGGGCACAAGCCGAGCCACACCTGGAAGGTAATGGGCTCATTCATATATAGGCCGCTTTGCCCTACTGCATACATCCGAGAGAACGCCACTTGCCACTGTGTGTGTGGGGTCCCCTTTCTCAAACCCCAACTCTACAAGCAGACAAGCCGGGCCGCATTGCACCCTCAGGCAGCGTGGCATCCTCAACCTGCACCGAGTTCTCTCTCGCTGAAGTGGTGGCAGCCACCAACAACTGGTCTGAGGACAACCAGCTTGGCTCGGGGGCCTTTGGCGACGTGTACAAGGGCGTGTCTCCCCGCGATGGCACCACGGAGTGGGCTGTGAAGCGCGCCAAGCTCATAGACGTCCAATTCCAGAGGGAGGTCAGTGACTTGACGGCCAGGTTAGCTTTGAGACGTCTCAGGACGTGTTTTTCTAATATATTATTCTCGAAAACAAAACACATCCCAGCTTTGAGACGTCTCAGAACTAACCTACTTCAGCGCGCCGAGCTGTTAGTCGTCGAATTCCAGAGGGAGGCGAGTGAGTGCATGTGAGCCAAGCTGGCTTGTGAGTCGGTTCAGCGGTCACCTCGTGCCAAGCTGTTAGTTGTCAAATTCCAGAGGGAGATGACTGACTTGACCAAGCTCATATGGCTGGATTCTGGCTGCATTTAAATATTAATTCAAGATTTAAATATTTTCGTATGTACAAATATCACATTTCTACGAATTAATGCAAACATAGACATACAAATACAGAAGGCTCTTGGGTATCTGTTCCTCGCTCCGCTGTTATTCCTGCTGCTTTTTGTTACTCGTTCCTTCATTTTTTTCCCCGCACTTTTTCTCTATACCCTTACAGGTCCTGCAGTTGGCTAACAAGAACCACCCCAACATTGTGCGGCTGCTAGGGTTTGCTCTTTGGAGAGACACAAGAGGGCGTTACCAAAGCAAGTTCTGATCTACAAGCCTGTGCCCAATGGTGTCTTATGTTTTGTTTCCTCTTCACAGGTCATGCAGATGGCTGACAAGAACCATCCCAACATTGTGCGCCTGCTGGGGTTTGCGGTGGGGGGGGACATGTGGACGCGGCCAGAGCAAGTCATGGTCTACGAGTTCGTGCCCAATGGCGACCTTGAGAAGTGGCTGGACCCCAAAAGTATGTACTACGTAGTTAGTACAGGCGGTGTATAGTTGAGGTGGCTTCTGGTTCAAATCAAGAGGTGATTCAATTTTCAACCTGGGATGTGACGTTGACAAGTGGATGGATCCAGCAGATATGTGTTTGAGGAACTTCAATGAGTGACCTCGACAAGTGGATGGATCTAACTAGCATGTCTGCATTCACTTGCTCCTGCTTCTCCTTTGTGCAGCAGAGCAAACGACATAACCCATGCATTCGGATCCATACTGTGTGCTTCGTGTTTTGTTCTTGAAACTGTGTGCCTCGTGCAGGGGCGCCCTTCCCTCTGTCTCTGGTGCAGCGGCTGGGCATTCTCATTGGTGCGGCACGTGGCTTGGAGTACCTGCACAGCTTTAGCTTTGTGCATCGCGACATCAAGCCAGCCAACATTCTCATCACTGCTGACATGCAGGCAAGTCTGAGTAACACAAGTGAAGCGTTGTGTTAAGAAATTAAGGTTTTATGTTCAGGGTTTAGGCTCTAAACTACTCCAACACCTTTCACAACCCACTCACTTTTTTTAGTTTTTATTCTTCGTTTCCTCGCAAAGAATGGGAGGAATGTCCTCTGATGTGGGCGGGACGGTACATCGTATGTAGGATGATGTAACCTTTCTGGTCCATTGGCCTTGTTGCAATGCCCTGCCTTTCCGCTTGTTCATCAGGCCAAAATTGCTGATTTTGGACTGGTGAGGGAGGGAGAAGGCACGACAGTGGGCTCTACTAGAGTGATGGGAACACCGGGCTATGTGGATCCTATATACACCAAGACATCAAAGGCAACCACTGCCACTGATGTTTACAGGTACTTGAAAGATACTTGAACAGCTGAAAGGATGTTCATATATTCATGATAAGCCAGATAAGAAGTCTTTGTTCTTTTGTATTTTCCTGATATAATTTTTTTTCCTCGCATTCTCAGTCCAACTGTTTGCATGTCAACACTAGTTGTCATGTCATTGCAATATGTTAAGTCTACTAAGTCTGAGAGGTAGTTGGCGTTATGTTTTCCACTCATTGCAGGCATAACATGATGAAGGTGCTCTATGCATCTCACGGCTCACACCATCCATGCATGCATCATCATTCTTGCCTCACCAAACTTTTCCCCTCAGCATCTCCCCCTCTCCCTCTCCCTCTCCCTCTCCCTGTCACTCTCCCTCTCCCTCTCCCTCTCCCTCTCCCTCTCCTTCTCCCTCTCCCTCTCCCTCTCCCTCTCCCTCTCCCTCTCCCTCTCCCTCTCCCTCTCCCTCTCCCTCTCCCTCTCTGCAGCTTCGGCGTGCTCATGCTTGTAGTCCTCACAGGACGCACTCCATGTGTTGAGTCTGACAGCGAGAGCAGGCACATCCTACCGTGGGTAAGTGACCCATTATTTTCAAAGGCGTCACAATAAACACACTCTAACATGGGTGAGTCCTGCATGTAACTGACATGTTTATCCTCTGGGAGCCCTGCATGTAAGCACGCATACCGTGGGTATGCACTGCCATGGGCGGGTGCCATACTTATCACAGCGATGCCGATGCCATAGCTTCAATCTCTATGTACCACAGCGATCATAGCTGAAGGCTGAGCTGTCAGGTACCACGGCAGCTTCTCGGCGCCCAAACTTCAATCAGTACCCACATATTCATCGATTTCAGAAACAGCAACCGATACAGTGGAGTCATGTTTTAGAATTCTAAAAAATGACTCAAACGTCAATCAGTACCCACCTATTTATCAATTTCATAACCGATATGGTCTTGATCGGCTTGAGGCTCGGCCGCTCACCACACCATGCATGTGTCTCTAGTTTTATCTCAGCACTTGCCACTCCCACCCACTCCTGCTCCTCCAACCCCCAACACTCGTTCCGGTGGAGGAGTGCATATGGACGAGCTCTGCTGCTGAGGCGTCTATTTTTTAGGTGTCTATTTTTGAGGCGCCTATTTTTTAGGCGCCTCAAAAGCACTCGTTCAGGTGGAGGAGTGCATATGGACGAGCTCTGCTGCATCTTGCTTTGTCTGCGCACTCGCCCCTCACCGCTCTCAACCACTTTCTCCCCTTTTTCGATCCCTCCATCACTTGTTTGGGTGGCGGAGTGCCTGTGCACAGAACCTGTGGTGTACATGAAGAACCCCAGCAAAAAGTCGATCCAGAGGGCGTTCTTTCTTTCTCCCAACTGCTCTTGTTCCGTGTGCAATCCCCATCACTCATTCAGGTGGCGGCGAGCCTGTCCACAGGATCTGTGGCCCACCTCAAGGATTCCAGCATGGAAGCCCCAGAGGATGTGCTGCTGCACCTGGCAGAGCTGGCAGTGGGCTGCACTGCAGAACGCACGGCCAGCCGGCCCGGCATGGCTGACATTGCCAACAAGCTGCAGGCCGTCAGGAATGCCGTGGCGGGGAGGGAGGAGCTGAGCGCAGCCGTCAAGGTGGATGTGGAGGTTCGGGAGAGGAAAAATCTTGAGAGAGTGAGAAGCCTGAATTCAGATCTAGAAATTATTGGCTACATCGTCTGAAAATTGTTACAGTATGACTTGTTACTTGAGGTCGCCTTTAGGAGTCTGTCAGGAATGCCGTGGCGGGGAGGGAGGAGCTGAGCGCAGCGGTGGTGGTGGATGTGGAGCTTCGGGAGAAGGAAAGCGACGTGCAATGCTTGGAAGCAGGGCCTCAGATTGCAGGCTTTTTACCCTGATTCAGAGTACAATCAGGGTTTTTTTGGGGGATGACCCTGATGAGTCAGGTTTTTTTAGGACAGAGGCCTGAAATTTCAGGGTTTTTTTAGAGTGAACTCTGATCGATCAGCGGGCCTAGTGTAGTGTGGCCTGTTTTTCCAGCGTCGTATCGGGGCCCGACCCTGATTCTTGTAATAGCGGATTCCTAGCCCCACCCCCCCACCCCGTGATTTCTGTGAATCCCCCCCCACCCTCCCCGTCAATCACGCCGACATGAGTGTGACCGACCAAATTTCAGCCCGCCATTCTCATCCAGCACATAGAGCTCGGCGGGTTCTCATTGGCTGTTCGAAAGTAGCTAGCCACTGCTGTCTCCAGCACAGCGTAGCTGCAGGTTTTGGATTGGCTCATCGCCAAGTTACGGTACTGCCACAGCAGCCAATAGGCCAGGTCTATTGTTGGGCAGCTGGCCGACGAGCACAGCAGTAGACCGCTACCCACCCGCTTCGTGAACCTCATCCATGCATGCATAAATCTGGCGTGCCCTCCACAAACCTCAAGAGATCCCATCATCTTCATCAATTTCTTCAATCGATGCACTTGCTGTGCTGCCACACCTGCTGCCTCGTTTAAGTCGAGTGCTTCCGCCCCCCGTCATTCCGTTTCTCCTCCACGGTTGTGACTAATTTTCTTACCGCTGCCATCTTGCGATGGCAGCACCTAGCGACAGTGATACAGAAGACGATTATGGTAGCATTCCTCGTGCAGACCTGTGCACGGGGCTCGACATGCTCCTCTCGACATTGTCTAGCCTCACCCGCATCCCGATTAGAGCCGATGCCGCGCCGATGTCGTCGTTCTTCCTGAGCAGAGTCTTAGGCCCGGTCCGTCGGCACCAGCCGCCGTCGAGCGCCCTGCTACCGCGACAACTACTCCCAAGAGCCTCGGTCGCTACCGCCAGGCCAAGTTACTGTTCGCGAAGCCGAAGCCGGGAACTGTCGAGCCGTCGGCGTCGATACCTGCTGATGACGCTAAAGAGCCCTCTAAAGACGAGACACCTTCAAACTCCAGGAAGTCTCTGAGTCCTTCCGAGCTTTACGATGAGGCTCTTTCCTGTTACAAGTCGAGGTGGCAGGAGCAGTTTCCCTGGCTCGGTTTTTCCAAATCTAACGAAGGGCGCCCTGCCTTTAAGTGTACCATATGTCTGGAGCATGCAGGGCTCTCTGGAAGGACTGGTCGTCGTGGGCCAGGAATCACAGACGCAAAAACACAAGCATTCAAAAGGCACGCTGGTACTGGAAAGCACCGCCTCGAGTTCGGGAAGCAAAACGTTCTGCTGCAAGACGCGACTACCCAGACACGCATCGACCAGAACCCGCACGTCGCGGATTTGGAGAGGGAGCGAGTGACCGCGCTTCTCGACCTGTTGTACACCTGCTGCAAGACCAACGAACCCATGGACACATGGGTCACGATCACCAACCACCTTGCCTCGCGGAAGTTCAATAACTTCCCCGAGGGCGGGTACGGGACGTACATGAACTCGTAAGCCCTAAATCCCTTCACATTCGTAAGTTTCTTTTTCTTACAAACCACTAACGACGAGCTTTATTATGTTATTAAACGCAGGTATGGTTTCGGGGAGTTCACGCAATCCACTGCGACCTGGCTGCACACCACCCAGCTGGAGCACCTCCTGCGAAGCCCGTTCATCGGACTTAGCCTCGATGAGAGCACGGACCGTTGCAGAGGAAAGCACATGATAGTCTTCTGCACTTTCATCCGAGACCGCCGCGTCGTCACCGAGTACCTGGCGCTGCTCAGCGTTGACAAGGCGGACGCCTCTTCTCTGCTCGCTCTGCTGCTCTCCCACCTGCAGGCAATGGGTGTCGATCTTCGCCGCATCTCAGGCATCAGCACTGACGGGGTGGCGGTGATGATGGGCTCGAAAGCAAGCCTGGTGACTCGACTCCGGATGCGTATCCCTCACCTGGTCTCTTGTCACTGCATCGCTCACCGGTAAGTATCCATTTTTGCGATATTGAGTGTCCAACACGATGTTGATTCTGTACCCTATACTAACTGTCACTCATGCTGGTTTGTTCTATTTCTCCCCGTGTTCTCTTCTGTGTGCAGAGAGGCGCTGGTAGCTAAGGCAGCGGCAGAGGACATGCCGTTCTTCAAGATCATCGATGATGTAATCAAGGAGCTGGCCGAGTTCCTCGGTCGCTCTGGACCATGGCACCAGCGCTTCCTTGACCTCCAAGACGTCTTCCTCTCGACGTGCTTGGAGCTGCAGGGTATACACCAAGTCAGATGGCTCTCTCATGGTGAGGCCATCCGACGGCTGGTGGAGGTTTTGCCAGCCATCATCGTCATGCTGTCCGATTTTGCCGACGACCGCCTTGACAAGATTGTCACGAGCTACAGGTTCTGGTTTGTGCTCATGTTTCTTGCTGATGTTCTTGAGCAGATGAACATTCTCAACAAGACTTTCCAGACCCGCGAGGTAAGTTTCGTCATATGGTGTTCCTAAACCGCAACTAATGCACCATTATTCTTACCTGTATTCTCAAACCCCTTCCCGCAGCTGGACATCTCAACGATCCACGCATCGGTCTCCCGCGTGACGTCCCTCCTCGAAAGCCGCTATGTCGACTGCGGCGACGACTTCAACAGGTGGCCGAAAGACCTGCTCACGGCCTTCCTCACCCGTCACGGTCCTGGCGGTATGCGCAGCGTCACCGTTGAGGGCGTCGACTCCGATGGGCGCCCGAGTCGATTCAGCTTCGACCTGCATGAGGAGCCATTGGATGGCTACCCGGGGGAGGGCAAGCACGACGATTGTGTCGTGGCGTGCATGGTGCTGGCCGAAGGCATAGTGCAGAACCTGGAGGAGCGGCCGGGGGACTTGAAGCAGCTAGGTGGTTCGATGCTATTCTGTGCAGACCAGTGGCCAAAGGGGTGGGAACGTGCTCCACAAAAGGGCCAATGTCTGGAGTGGTTCGGGATGATGGTCGACCTCTACCATGCAGAGGAAGCTGAAGAGATTCTTCCAGGTATCTCACCTGTCCTTGACCCCGAGGCTTGCACGATTTGTAGATGTGGTTCCGCTCTACCCTATTACTCCCCTTTTTCTCCCTCCCACCCTTCCCCTACTGGAAGGCGTCAACAAGCGAGCGGCTATGCTGGAGATCCCCCATTTCTGCCCTATCCTTGCCGCCCTGCCAAAGAGTGACAAGGGCTTCTACACCGGCTTGAAGGCCATGCAGAAGTCTCCAAACTAGGAGGATAGCTTCCCCAATCTCGTTAAGCTGTGGTGCGCTATGGCAGTTCTTCCCCTGAGCACAGTAGAATATGAACGCGGGTTTTCCCGCCAGAATGTGATTAAGAGCTGGATGCGGGGCAGCATGAAGGACTCACGCCTTGTAGATTTGATGTGTATAAGCCTGCTAGACTACGAGCTGGACTGGGATGTTGTTATTGACATCTGGAGAGCCTACAAGAAGAGGAAGCCCTACAACACTTGCCCACAAAGCAGAGCCCAGAAGAGCAGTAAGGGGAAAGAGGAGGACGATGCCCCTGTAGACCATGATAGCATGCAGGCAGAGGAGGAGGATGCTTAAGTAGGTCCTAGTATGCCCATGTTAGCTTGTAAACACTTGTCTTAAGATAAGATAGTAATACGGGACATTTAGTTGAACAGCGTGTTTTTTGTAGGTAGTTCTGTTTATTCAGCGCAAAATATTTACAGTACCCTGATTGATTAGCGTAAGTTTCTTTGCTATGCCTGAAAAAACAGTGAGGTAGGGGGGGGGGACCCTGAGCGATCAGCGTGCCCTAAAACGAATCTGAGGCCCTGGTTGAAAGCTTCACTACGGTCCATTGAAATGTTTGTTTGAGATTTGTTATGATGCAAGTACGGAAGTTGCTAGAGATTTGTTCACTTCGCCTGCCACGAGTTCTTCATGGGGTCACCATTAGGGATCGTTTTATCAGACATGTGTAGCCAACTTTTGCCCTCGTTCATTTTGTCTTTCAGAAAACTTTCATTTCATATCATTTATTTGGAACCTTGTTTCTTACTGTAGCAATTGTTGGATAAATGCGCGGAAGTTATCATAATTAAGCAATACGCGATAATTGGCCGAATGCCAGTGGTCGGTATTTAGCCGTTTACGGCCAGCCCAATGACCAAATGAGCTGAACAGTCTATCTCGAGAGAGAAAGTTGACTAGAGCATGGGCAATAGGAGATTTTTGTGTCTAAGTGTTGTACAACTATATAAACTGCACCTGTTACAAGAGGTTTTAGCTAGGTAGGCATGAGAAATAGCGAGAGAAAGGAGATGGACTAGACGAGAGAGAGAGGTACAAGAAGTGGGTTGTCCTCTCTACAGTAGGATCCAGTTAGAGTAATGCACCTGCATAGCCTACATATACAGATATATAAATATGGATGTTGACACACTCCCTAGGCTTGGTAGGTGCTACTCACAGAGGCAAGAGACCAGGGCAGTCTGGTTTAGACTGGTATGTCCACTGGTTTGAGTAGCAAGAAAAAGTTTGAGCACACCACAAGCCCAACACCCCCAAGCCCAACACCCCCATACCAAGCAGCAACTATGGGAGTATACAGCGGGTCAACCCCTCGGCATGTGAGACGGCGACGTCAGCGGCGGGGGCAGCGGCGGCGGCGACTGCGGCGGCGGTGCCCAAGGCACCCGGCGGCGCGGCATGCTCTGCATCGACGAGGGAGGACGGCACGAGACCGCCAGCAGCTGCGGCGGGGAAGAGAGGGAAATGCAGAGGAGGGGGGGGGGGGGGAGGGGGATCCAGTTGTCCGCTGCTGCTTCTGCTAAAGCGACTGCTGTTGTTGCGGCGGCACTAGGGGAGGCTGCGGAGGTGCCTGGGGTACCGGGGCTGAGGGGAGAGGCGCCACAGCTGCGGCAGGCTCACCCCCAGCCTCGGGGCTCCCAGAGTCAGCAGACTCCCCCACAGACCCAACCGAGGGGAGGGGAGTGGCGTGGGAGACACTAGACGGGGTTGGGCAGGGTGGGAGGGGAGCGGTAGGCGGATGAGGGGCGAGGAAGAGAAGGGGAGGCTGAACATGGGTGCCACGGTGAGGGAAGCGTCTGTAGAACGAGACAGACTTGTCAAACGTAACGTTGCAGGAGTGAAAGAAGTGGTGCTGCACCGGGTGGTAGAATAGCTAGTCAGGTGCGTCGAGAGCGAACCCGGGGAAGACACGGAGGAGAGTGCGGGCCGAG